AACTAACGAACGGAGACGTAACAGTACTTTATGTTATTGTCAGGTTATTCTAATCTTCTGGGTAGTTACTACAATTGCACCCACCCACTTCCACAATATTTAGGATGCCTAGGATCAAGCTCAAACCTTATGTCAAGAATAATGAATTCGACAAAATGTCATAACATTATTCACATATCTAAATTTATTTAGGTTACTGTATGGTGAAGTACGATAGACTCATAGATATTATATACACTTCACCATTGTAATAGGCCTAACGGTATTTCTATGGTTCGTTAACCCAAGCTGTGCTGATAAGCTTTATAATAGGCAAAACTGTAGTCCACAGCAGAGGGTACGGTCAATCAAGGAATGCATGAATGCATTAGGCCTCTATGTCACAGATTCTCTTTTCAATTTCTCCTCTGGTGAAAAAGAAACGAAATCTTTAACAGATACATACAATTTTTTCATAGACTGTTTAGGCAGAGTATTCATGATGAAACTTAGTTGAATCAACGACAAGTGCCCGTTGTAGAAACACAAGTGTAGAGGATGGCGTTTGAAAGTCTTTCGTCTTCAGGTCAGTGTGTGTTGTATCATATTGTTGCGTCAGCGAGGTCACGTGACTAGTGTCACGCCACGTTTCTAGAACTATCTTGTTCCTTCGTGAATGCCCTAGCATTTACTAGATATATGCTTGTCTGGTATATATATAAGACGCTCACAACGTGACGACAGTGTGTGTGTGTAGGTAGTGAGTAATTGAACTGCAGTCAGAAAGTATTATTGAAGTTAACGTTAGTTGTTAAAACGTTTGTTATAGAGCGACTGTTGAAAATAAGTGTATCGGTAAAGTTATATTCATAAAAAATAAACCAGTTTTATTAAGTAAGGACTTGTGTCGCTAAAGTTTCGTCAGAACGAAGTTACAGAAAATCAATTAACAAACGGAGACGTAACAATATCATATAGACTTGACAGGAAATATGGTGTTAATCAGGGGCGCTCAGAAGTTTTGGTTAGTGTGTGCTCCTTTCTCTGGCAGTTGTTTTGAGGTTAAATTAATTAGTTCGAAAGAAATAATTTATTATCAAGAATATTCGAAGACTAAGCAATCTTACTTCACTAAAAGATTATAAATTCCTAAGGGTTATTGGTTTATTCGAGCCAAGTGGACGGATTCTAACTGGGCTGTGGTTTGAAAAAATCAATCTTAAGGCTGGTAGGCAGACGTAAAGGCAAAGGCGAAGTCGAGGCAGGTTGGAGAAGAAGATAAGTTGAGAACTGATTGCTAACAAAACATCGAAACAAACGGGGCTTTTCAGGGCCTGGCATGGATCAATAAATTCAAATGCCACAGCTGGGATCTTTTATGTACTTACTTACTTAATTACTTACGTGGCAGGGGTTCGGTTTGAAGAGTGAAAAGACAAGAGACTTCTCTCCCCAACTGGGGTGTTCAGGAACACTTTGTTCTTCTTCAACCCCGGAATGTTAGTTCTAGTGATTCCGGAGGAGAAAAAAAAAAGATTTACGATTGAGCAGCTTGTATAAGATGGCAGTGTGTCATACGCTGTCGAAAACATTTTTGACGTCCAGAAGGGTAAGGATGCCGGCAACAATGAAGAAGTATAATATTGAATTTTCATCTTCTTCATTTACGTGTTTGGTGTTCGAATGTTGCTGCTACAGGGAGATACCAGGCACAGGTAGGCGTTCTTATATGTGTGGAATTTGCGACATTTTCTAGATGTTGTATTAACTAATAATTTATTGTTAAATGATTAATTGATTTATTAACTAATTGATAGATTAATTATTTATTTATCAACGACCTTCTCAGGGTAGGCGGGAACCTATAAGTTCTTTGCCCCAAATTTCGGTGCGGGGAAACCGGAGCACTCGGAGAAAACCTACTTTCACAGGGCAGACGCGGAATAATCTATCTGCCCTGTGCCAAAGTTGAAAAAAAAAGAAAGAGCGCCGGGAATTTTACAGAGTGTGCTTGTCATGTTGTTTCAATTTTTTGCTTTTGTGTAATATTTATGAAGTAGATCAGTTAGCCTACTATTAAGGCTAGGGAGATTGCTTATTTTGTGTAGATATTTAATGAGGATGTATTTTGGTAATTAGTGAGCTAATCTTAATATCTTATTTCGTTGTTTTTGTATTTTATCTGGTGTATTTTGGGGAATATTATAAGTTACCTGACAGCCATATTCTATGAATGGGCGAATGAATTCTTTGTAGATTTTGAGTATTGTGTCTGCTGTGCATCCAGTGTTTTTTCCGGCTATTCTCTGTAGGAGGGTGATGTGTTTTCTGATGCTTCACTATTTCACCGCACGCTTACTTGGCCAATTGTCTAGCTCACCCATATTTATTAATAAATCCTTCTTTTTCTAAAGCATACTAAATGGATACTTTACCCATTAAAATTGCTGTCTAGTTGTGTTATAATTCTATCTCCAAATTTGCTGTGTCTCATTACTTAACTTTGGCATATTAAATCTTGTTTATACAAATGACTGAGACAATTGAGATTCTACAGATTGTGTTACAAAATTTAGTGTACATTTTCATAAGTACAGTTATAACAATGATTGTCATCTCTAAGCATATAAAGACTAAAAATATTACTCATAATTTCACTTAATGATAGGCGAAACCTGTCATTAAATCCCATGTTTTTGAAATATTTAAAATCTGTAACGGTGACTATCACCAATAGATGCCATCACTAAACTGTATCTAACACAATAGAAAAGAAGGAAATATTTATAATGATGCCAGAAGTGAAGAGAATATTTAATTAAATGGCGACAAACAATCCATTAGTACGACCATACTTTAATATTGGTGTTGATATTCCCCTTTAGGTATAAACTATATATCAATATGCTCAGTTGTTTGCCGCAATTAAGAAATAATTAAA